GATTAGATCGTTTGCTGTGGCGTACTGCCGGCCGTCACCAAAGGCACCATTGGCCTGGATACCATCGTTCGCCCTCAGCGTCGACTTCTGGCCAGGGCTGCCAACAATGATGCAACAAGCCAACACCGCGAGTCACGATCTGCGGCCCCAAACTCTGCGGCGCACCGAGGGTCCAACCTCTTCCTCTACAACTGGAGAGGGACCCTGCCGCTGGGCAAGCGCTGGGGTATCGCGACACGGGTGACGATTGAACCAGAGCCTAGGGCTTTGCCGCTTTTGCCTGATGGGGCCTTTCATCAGCGACTAAGGGACTGACGCTCGAAAAAGGGGTGGCGAGGGAATATCCGAGCTAAATGATCGTCAAGCCGATTTTCCTCGAACTAGCGCAGGAAGTGGCAGATGGAACATTGCCCAGCGATTCTAGCCCATCACCTATGCCATTTTTGCCTACACTGCAAGACTGGCATCCGTCAGCCGGCATGCTGCAAGTGACATGGGACGACAGCCAGGCCCCTCCGCGATCAGAGCCAGCGGCTTGAGAGCTTGAGAGCAGCGCTTTTCGACTGCCTGCAGCCAACATCTTCTACATGTCCACCAGGCGAGCTCGGTACAAAGCGAATACCTCTTCACGCCTGCTCCAGGGTCGATCTGGAAAAGTCACTGCAGTCCGAGTCTGGAGTCTGGTCATTTTCCACACCAATCCCGCTGCCCACGCCTGCTTTGTCGCAGACTCGCAGACAGTCCACTCAATGCGGGCCTCAAAAGTCGGTGTAGAACGGAGCCGCTACAAGCCTCCGAACGCCCATGCCTGCAGCCCAACAAATCAGTACTTTGCACTGCTATTTTCACCTTGAGACAGGTGACTCCAAGGCTACACAGAAAAGGCCTCGGCGGCATTATGACGAAGTCTCTGGGTCTTTTGCCCCCAAAGCATGGGTCGTGACAAGCCTGCTGTCGTGTGGGAAGTGGGATGATGCAAGTCACTTCGCGACCCTCCCAAGCCCACCGGCCACGACCCAAGATGCTGCCGCATCGAAAGGCCTATCCCGCGGTAGCAAACGCGCCCAAATCGCGGGGCAGACCACGCAGGACTTTGAACAGCCCATTATTATTAGACTTGTGCTGAGGATGAGGCTGCATGGCTACACCAGCCGGTCGTCTCTTAACTCTCGCGAGACCGTATCCATCCGGAGACTTCAAGAATTAGCTCCAATCCACAATTCTTAGCCTCATGTATGTACTGACGGGCAGGGAGTGTTTTGCATGCAGACTTGGCCGTTGGTTGCCCGCTGCGATGCATGTCACCTCGGAGTTGGAAACTCAAGCATTGGAAACTCGAGCGATGCTGGAGAAGATACTTCCTCTTACAAGCGGCTGGTGCTCGTGCGCTACCCAGCCCAGGCGGAATCGCAGGTCGGGAAGATACCCTGATCATCTGCCAGCGAGTTTGCGAAGAAAAACAGAAGTGGGAAAACAGCAGTTGGAATGCGTTGGAGCATGGCAATGGCAAGACAAGGGTGAACCTTCTTCTCAAGCTCGAGCAATCTCCTGAAGCCCCGTGCCGCAGCTCACCGATGGCGGGTTGCAACCCAGTGCCGGTTTGCGATGTAGGAACGTTGCGGAATGGTATCCTTGGGACCAAGTTGTCGATTAGCGGACCAATTGGATCAAATATCATCTCTCAAGACCGACTTGTGCCCGCGAGGTCTGGTATGCGGCCCAGGTATCTCTGCTTCTGGTGTCATGATATTCAAGTACTTGGGGTTCCGGTCGTTGTCATCTTGGCAGAGACTAGCTGGATGGGTGTGTCATTGTCGCCTTTGCACAACTACACACAACGCGGAAATCACTCTACTAACTGTTCGTTGTTGACAGAGCAAACCAATGACAGGGCTTGGAGCGGCAAACGAAACTCGTAATTCACATACCCATGCGCGCATCTCGCTCTTGGGCAGCCCCGGTCTGTCCACTCGATCAGGCAGATCTTCGATAGCCGTGGCACGGACATGGGCTGCTCTGTGGTGTACAGTCGAATTTTGGATGACTGGCTGTTACGAGCGAGATACTCTTTTTGGTGGATATATCGAACCAACTCAAGAATTCAAAAGAGGCTGGCAGAATCCCCAACTCTTCTAGATGCATTTTTTCTTCTCATGTTCCCCATCCGGGGGAGTGTGTTGTCACCCACACAGGGTTATCCAAGTACCGAAGGCAATGCGACGCAGGCTGTGCGTGCGTGGCACACAGACACCGTCGCTGGACCTGTTGTCAATAGCAAGCTACAAAAAGACAGCGAACAGGCTGTGGCTACACCGCCTGAGAGACATGCGAATCCTTGGTTTTGGAGGTTGCTTTGCACCGAGAAGGGGAGGCAGAACGACAAATTACGAGCAGGGTAATCCCCAAAGCGACGAGCCCTACTTCGCAGATTGCCAATTCGACAAAAGTCAAGCACCAAAATGAAGAAGAGCGGTGACAATCTCGTCGAGACTGACCGGAAAACAATGTGGAAACGCAAACACGCCCTTGAACTCTGCGGATCTCGGGCCTCCTGTCAGACCGAGATAGAGTTTGCGATGCACTGACAAAAAGGCTATACTGATGGTGGTCAACTCTCAGTCCCTCTCTCTCTTTGAGGTTGACAAGCGTCGATGGTGGGCCAGCCGCTGCATGTTGCTATGGGGAGAAGGCGCCCCTGACAGGAAAACGGAAGGAGAACATCGACTGGGCCTAGTACGGAGGTCCTCCGACCTCCGACCTGCTAGACTCGGCGGTTTCTCTGGCTGTTAGTGCACCAGCCCCTCAGCAATACCTAGGCAGAGGATGGGAGGGGATGAGGGGGTAAGAAAAAAAACGAAGGGGACGGAGGGGTGGAAGCGAAGTGACTGGGTTTGCTCGCCATTGGCATCGATTTCGCAGAGGTTCAAAGTCAGATGTCTACGAAAGGAGTTAAGAGCTACGTTACGTGTGAGCCTGATTCGCAGTTTCTGTCGGTACAGCTGTCGGTACCAGCGAAACAGCATTCAGAGCAAGGCAACAAGACAAAACCAGATCTCTTCCGCAACTCCCATCATAGACTCGTGTACCTGAAAGGTATCCGAGATCAAGTCACCAGTGCAACCACACATGTTCGCTCTCTTGCGCGCCGGTGCTGCTGCGGTAGCGGGACGGTTTGGACAGAGTACCTGGGCGGCGTACCTTGTCTCCCACTGGCTGTCTTACTCTTCTGGGAATGATGAAAAGGCATGCCAAAACTGCCCGCGCTGCGTCAGGATACCATCCACACCAGATACCCAGCATCTACCACTGCCACATGCGCGCAACACCGCGGCCACTGCATATGAAATTGTGCCGGTGCTGTTCACACTTGGTACCTGCTCTGGGTGCCCGCAACCTTGGCTCCAACCTGGACAGGTACGGCGGCACTCGACCTGTTGGATGCTGCGCGGACCAAGACAGGGCAGGGTGTCGTAACGCAACCCGCAATGTGCTGCCAGGTACTTTGGCTGCTTGCCTGGCAGGTAGGTACCTCAAGCCCGTGCTCTCTCTACCTACGAATAGCCTGCAGTGAGGAAGGCTAGGGCAGCTTTGGGCAGTCACTAAGAGCCCAGGAGAGTGGAGGAGGGGGAGGGGAGGGGGGGAAGTTGCCAGGTCCCTTGGGCCCCCAGCCCCAGGTCCAGCGGCAGCAATATGGAGAGCAAGCGAGTGAGCGGGCGAGTGAGATGCTGTGGTTCCTCTCTGTGGTTCCTCTTTGCGATGGTGGCCCCGTCAAAACCCCTTCACCCCCGTCGACGGCGCAGGGGTATCTTGGGCCGCTGGCTGGCCTGCCACGCCCTCTCGACCGTGCTTCTCTCCCACACCCAAAAACGATACATTACCTTCTTATGCTCCAAACCTGCCGCTCCGCCTCTTCCCACGTATGTCGGGTTTCTTGTCCAGTCTCTTCTCTGTACACCATCTTGTGTGTCCGTGTATTTCAGACCCTCTCCAGACTGCCGCTCCTGGCTCTCCAGGGCGCGACGTGTGAGACTTATATCCCGAGTGTATACTCTGTTCCGACGCGGGCAAGAAGAAAAAGGTGAGTCCCTGGTCCATTTACTTACTGTCTTTATGCGTTCGCAATCCTGCATCCTGCGCGTTGAGGGAGCAATTTCGCGACATGGCGACAAGAAACACATCTACACACAGAGAGAAAGACAGAGAGACAGAAACGGTTCTGTCCTCTCTTCAGTGCCAGCGGGCTATTGCAACGGCACTTCACCTGGACGGGGGGGCTTTCAGATGCGCAGCCAAACCCGACTCAAGCACCCGCAAAGCCATATCGCATCTCGGCACGGCTGGGGGTTGTTGCTTGACAGACATGAGAAGAACGAGGTAGGGGTGCGCGGAGGACGACGAAGAAGCAAGGACTGGGACGGTTTCGGTTTGCGATTCGAAGAGACACACCAGAGGAGACGGGAGCTGCAAGGCGAGACATTGGGGTCTCACGCTGCTTAGCCTTCTCCAAGCGCTCTCTGCTGGGCTTGACGTTGGTTTTTCCCCTGCGGCCCTGGATGTCATTCATCCTCACGGTCGTCTTTCAGGGCTTCACCGACTACCGCCCGCTTTTGGAGAAGGCCAAAAAGCAACCCCCCTGACCAGCAACCAACCCAACCCGACCTGGAAACCTTACGCAGTCCCGTCACTTTTAGTTCGCCAGATCCGCACCCCGCCTCCGATTTTCCTTGTTTTCAAATTCGCCAAACCATCGCTCTGTTCTGTGTTTCTTGTCGTCGTGGGCTGCGATCTCCAACCCAGATTCGCAGCAGCCTGCAGCGTTCTCATTTCCCATTCCAGTTTCTTCATGTATTTGTTGCTGACCGCCGGCCGTACTTGATGCCAGCAGTAATATAGAACGCCATCGCCACTTGGCCCCTTCGTGTGAGAGTTGGAGTAAACTGGACGGCCACATGGACGACCTGCGATTTCGATCCCAACAGCCCCCGCGTAACGAGCCCACGATGAATACGCTTGTCTCACCTCCGCGGAACGGCAGCCGCATGCCCCAGCCTGTTCAGGCCCACGATGGGCGCGGCGCTCTGCCCCGCCGCTTCACCACCGATTCGGGGCGTGTACCAACATTGTCGTCTATTACCAATCAGCGCGGCCCTGAGATGGGCAATGATTACAATGTACGTCGTCATCTCTGTGCATGGCACTCGCAGTACTCGCGGATCTGCCATTGCGATGCCCCTGTTGCCATCGCATCCGTCGGTGCACAAGGTAGACTTGGGCTGACAAGTGAATTAACAGACTTTGCACAAGGTTCAATTGGTTCGTGGACCTCCCCTCCCGCCCCGTTTCCGCGACGGCAAGCGGCAGCCCGATGACGGCGCGATGCTGCATTCGACCGGTGGCGATACTAATTCTCGGGCCAGATTGAGAAGAAGAAGCTCGAATACGAAAGACTCCGAGAGCAGAGACGCCGATTCGAACTCGAGATGCAGAAGCTGGAGCAGGCGCAGCGGCGCGAGGAGATGGAGCTTGCCAAGATGCAGGATGACCTGCGCCAGGGTCACCAGTCGGAACCGACGACGCCTCCCGAATACCACGAGTCGTCTGGCTTCCCCACGATGTTCTCACGCCCGAACCGTTACTCGACGTCCAGCCTGACCTCTCCCCCGGGCCTGTTCAACCGTCCCGGCCGCTCGGGATCGCAGCTCACCTCTCCTCAAGCGACTCTGATGCAGCAGTCTCGCTTCAGCTTTGATGAGCATCTCCCGTCCCGGTCCGTTCCCGGCTCTCGAAGAAACAGCGACGAAGACGAGAAGGAGGAAGCTGTGCGTCAGGACCCGACCAGCCATCGGTCCTCTAATGCGTAAGTGCTGTAATCCGTGCATGTGTTTGTTTTCTTGGACAAGTCGTAAGTATGAAAATCTGGAGTTCCGAGGGCTCTTGCCGTTGGCTGCGCCGAGAGATACTTGTTGTGTTGTGTGGGCGGGCGAGTGTTGCAGTCGAATTATCGTCTTTGGCTGCTCTGGAAGAGCTCTTGCGACTCAAGGGTGTAGTGGATCGCTTCCTTCCTGCGGTTGCTCTACTCTCAGTTCTCTGGCCTCCACAACACAAAAACTCGGGATCCGTCTTTGAAAAACCTCGACTCATCACATCAACCCTCGAGGTCCCCCACCACCACCTCACGCCTTCTTCACAACGAACGCTCCACCGGGCTTTTAAGTTCCTTACCTCACTCAACCTGGCAACTTTGTGAACAATCCTTTCACTTCCACAACCAGTCTTCACAACCACAGTTGCGCACCTGCCTATTATCCACCTACGCGCCTCGCAACTACCTTTCCAACTACTTATCGTTCTAACCACAACTTTCGCGCCTACCTTTCGACTATCAACTCTCGATCGCGCCTCCTACCAAATCTTCAACCCGTTCAAACTCATCGCTCCAAATTCACTTCACAATCAATAGCTTCCTTTCGGTCGGGATTCCAAAGCTATTTCAAGAGCTTTTATTTCTCCAGATTTCCTCACTTGTTTCTAAACGAAACAACTCGACTTGTCCAAGAAACTGACCACAGGCATCTTCACCTCTTGGGCAATGGCTGACTCTCAACCTTCTGACAACAGCTACAACCGCTACTCCATGCCTGTCACCAGATCTCGCACTGGCTTGTACGGCTCTGACCTCGACCAAACCGGCACTGCTCGATTCCTCTTCGGCGAGGAGGACGCTTCTGGCGAGCACAAGTACGGACACGGCACTGACGACAACTTCCCTACGCTGGTGCGCCGTGACGACCAAATGGTAAGTCTCGCTCTGGTTTGCTCTGTTATTTTGCTCTTTCCCAAATCCATCCACCATCGAGTTGCCCCCCCCAAAGCAAGTAGCAAGCCAGTGTGCCTCATTGGTCCCTGCCCTGGTCATGATTGGCTGGTGAGTTGAGTGAGGTTGAAATAGCATCGGGAAGGAGCGAGCAGCAAGCAAGCAACCGCCGCAGCTTCCCAACCTCAACTTGATTCATCACATTCACCCCGCCCGCCTTTCCTTCCACTTCCACTTGCACCTTTCCTTGCCTTCTTCCTCTCCTAAAATTTCTGTCTCAAAAGGATTTTTAATTTTTTTTCACCTCACGCACCTTCCCGTCCTCCCTCTGTTTGTTTACAGTAAACACTCGCTCTCCCTCATCACCTCCCTCCCCTTCACCTCAAGGTCGGAGTTTTGCAAGAACATCACCTCGTTGTCGACACACAGACTTCGTTACAACACAAATTGTCAATATCTGCTCAGCGTTGACATTGTTTGGTCGTGTAGCTCTCTGCATCCTCCGCTGCCCTTGATCTTGCCCTCTCTCCTTCGCCTGCCCCCGACGCGCCTCCCACGAACGGTTGGGGCCATATTAACCGTCATCGAACCCAACAGAGCTTGTCTGCTATCAACACGTCTTCGCTCAACGGAGCCACTTCGTCTGGCGAAATCACCAACAGAGCCAACGCCCGTCACTCGCTCGATCTCAAGTTCTACCCGGACGCTCCTACCGACAACCAGAACTCTGTTGTCTCGCCGACCAACCACATGATGGCCACCCCTCCCAAGTTGCAGAGCTCCTTCTCTGCCAACGACATCCCTACCGTCAAGAGCACCAACAACGCTTCTGTGACCAACAACCACGCCCAGCAGCACTTTCATAACCACAACGCCAGCATTGGTCGCATTCCTGCTGGTGCTGTTCCGGGTCGTCACAGTCGCGAGCTGTCCAGCGACAACAACATGGGCGGTCCCCGTGAGCAGCCCGGTCACTTCCCCTCCATTCAGTCTGCTCTTCAGGCCAATGCCGCTCCTTTCGGCCCTGGTGCTCCGGGTCCAGGCTTCCCCCACACCTCTCAGGGCAACCAGGCTCCCAACGTTGCTCCGACTGCCGGGCCCAACAACACCTACGGTAATTTCTATCCCAACGGCTACGTCTCCCCGAGCAACCCTGGCCCTGCTGGTCCTCCTGGCCCTCCCACCTCTGGTCCCGGACATTACGGCATGCCTCCTCTCTTGGCCATGGGCATGCAGAACATGAACCTCGGTGGCAACAATATGTACCCCGCCCAGAACTATGCTGGTTATGGCGCTCTCTACAACCCGCAGCATCAGCCTCGCGACAGCCAGGCTCGAGTTATCCAGCATCGCCGCCAGATGGATAACGAGGGTACGTTTTCTCCTAATGTATCTTGTCCTGACCCGTCATGCTAACTGGTTCCAGCCATGTCACGCTACAACGGCCTCGCGCTCGAGAACGTGGGCGGTCAGATTTACGATCTCTGCAAGGACCAGCACGGCTGCCGCTATCTGCAAAAGAAACTCGAGGAGCGCAACCCAGAGCAGGTCCACATGATCTGGCTTGAGACCAACCAGCACGTCATTGAGCTCATGACCGACCCCTTTGGCAACTACCTCTGCCAGAAGCTCTTGGAGTACTGCAATGACGACGAGCGCACCGTCCTGATCCAGAATGCCGCTGCCGACATGGTCCGCATTGCTCTCAACCAGCACGGCACTCGCGCCCTGCAGAAGATGATTGAATTCGTCACCACCTCCACCCAGATCGAGATGATCATCAATGCCCTGCGCTACCAGGTTGTCGAGCTTATTCAGGACCTCAACGGCAACCACGTCATTCAGAAGTGTCTTAACAAGCTCAGTGCCAAGGACGCGCAGTTCATCTTCGATGCTGTCGGTACCAACTGCGTTGACGTCGGTACTCACCGTCATGGCTGCTGTGTCCTCCAGCGCTGCATTGACCATGCCTCTGGCGACCAGAAGGTCTGGCTCATCTCTAAGATCACCGAGCACGCCCCGATTCTGGTTCAGGATCCCTTTGGGAACTATGTGGTCCAGTACATCATCGACCTCAACGAGCCTTCCTTCACTGAGCCTATTGTCCGCATGTTCAAGAACCGCATCGGTCAGCTGTCTCGCCACAAGTTCAGCTCCAACGTCATTGAGAAGTGCCTGCGCTGCTCCCAAGAGCCCTCTCGTGACATGATCGTCGAGGAGCTCCTTACTCCTGGTGAGATTGAGCGCCTGCTCCGCGACTCTTACGCGAACTATGTCATTCAGACCGCCCTCGAGTATGCGACTCCCCACAGCAAGTTCCGTCTTGTCGACGCCATTCGGCCCATCCTGCCGTCTATTCGCTCCACCCCCTACGGACGTCGCATTCAGGCCAAGATTCAGGCTTTCGAGGGTCGCAGCAGTGCTACCTCCAGCGGCCAGACTACTCCTGCGGACGCCAGCCAGGGCCAGATTGCCCTTCGTCCCAGTCACAACCGTGCCATGTCCAACACCACCTCTGTCATTGCTCCTGGCGGAGGCTTCGGTAACGGTCTGAACGGCGGTCTGAACGGCGGCATGGCCCCTCGCGGCGCGCAGGCCAGCTACCCCACGCCCGCCAACATTACTGTGCCTCCCCCGGCTCCTCCTCAGAATCAGCGCATGCAGCAGTACGGCTACAACCAGCAGCCGCGTACCATGGGAAACGGTCCTGCTGACGCTGGCGCCGGCGGCGAGACCCAGTGGCTGTAATTGTACATAACGCGTTGTCGACGTGGGATTCCACTTCTAATGGCATGAAATGTGATGCGGGCACTCGACGACGAATCTCATGGGCGGCATGATGCTTTCCGCAACGGTCTTCTTTCGAACACAGCACGGCGACGACGCAGCAACGACTTGACGATCACTTTTCCTTCACTGTCTGTGCAAACATCAAAAAATCAACCCCCACCAACATACAAATCGCAACCCACAACCACCTCTTCATCCGTCAAGCACGGCGGGCTTGCATCTGGTTGCAAGACCTGCTTTGTGTGTACACTATGGATTCGGGCAGCGAATGCCAACGGCATTCGCAGCACATACACAAGAATCGCATTCTGCTTCTCGGCAGCCGTCACCAGATCAGACGGAGCCTTCATTAGGCTTGTACTTGACGCGGACATCGACATAGACGAACGTTTTTTCCTACTCTCTTTCTTGTGTTTTTGTTTGCGGGTTTTTTCTTCTTCACTTCGATTCGTTACGCTCGCTTTCCAGGTATCATCAACTTGGATCACGATTGGATCGGACTTATGACGACATCGGCTTAATTTCCAACACGACGTGCCATTACGAAGCTGATCATGAGACGCAACGACACGTTTATGGCGTCAGCTCTCATTCTTGTGAAGGATCTCCATTTCGTTGTCAGCGAGTCTGGAGGCTACTCAGGATGGTACTGGAGCAGCCTGACTGCGTATGCATTGCACAGGGGCGAGCGTTGAGACATGATAGCATCGGGCGGGCAGTCTTTTTCTTTCTCTTATCGCAGCGCTTTGCGCATCGCGTATCTCGTTCTCGGCATGTGCTACCGACCTCTCATGGCTATTCTGATTGGGAGGACGATTTTGGCAAGGATGGTGGACATGGGCTCTCACATATCAAAGGGGGTTATCTGAGACGGGATCGAGCGAACTTTAGCGATTGAGGAGGGCTTTCTTGTGTGTTAAGAGACCTCTAGGGATGAAAATTGGCGTTACTTTGCATTTCGGTCGGCGGGGATGATGTGTATGGGGTTTGGCTGGAAGTGCGTACGCTCTTCAGCAAACACCCAGCATCCTACGGCCACGCATGTATCTAGGCAGATCAAGAAAAGATCTCTAAAAACCAGTGCGCTCATCTTGTCCGACGTGATGTGTGACTTTGCCCAGAACCCGTGAATAGAAGCGTTTATTTTTGGCGCCTATCACGATGTCTGCAGCCGCCGTGGTTGGACCACGTTGACCCGATGAGACGGGGAAGGTAATGATTCGGAGAGTGGAGCATGTGAAGCGACACAGGAAACAAACCCCACCAAGATGCCCTCTGATTGGCCAAACCCACGAACCCCCTCCCTCCCCCACGGCACGGGCAGTGCGTTCCAGAACAGTGACCGCGCTGAACGGACACTCTTTTCAGTGAAGGCTGGCGGCTGACGCCGTGGGAAGTGGGCACAGCCTCACTGTTTTGCGGCAAACTTCGTTGGTCGGGCGCGGGCCAGCCAGCACCTTGGGAGGGGGGGGGGAAAAAAAAGAGGCCAGACCGCAGCGCAGGCCTCCTTTTTGATTTTCTTTTCTTCTTTTTCCCTCTTGTCAGCGAACACGACAGACTATTCTACGCAGCACCACTGCAACATCCTTTTCGCATTTCCCAGCGTACGCCTCTAATTTCATTTCGACAAAATGACCCGCGGCAACCAGCGCGACAAGGCCCGTGAGGCGGCCCAGAAGAAGGCTGCCGGAGCGGTGAGTACTTTTTTTCTGGGGGCGTGTTTACGTTTCGCGGTCGGCCGGTTGGCTTTACGACGATCACCCGACTTGCTCACCACACCCGATCCGATCCGGTTGAATCAGCTCCAGCGGTCGTAGGAAGGATGAACGTTCCATTCTCAAAAGTGTTTTCCGCTGAGGACCTCGACGGTTTCTGGAGCTGATTCGCCGTGTGGATGGATGAGTGAGCGAAAAGGGATCGCAATGTTAGCCGGTAAAAGAAGTGAAACAGAATGCTGATGCGTAGTCTTTTTCCCCCACGCAACAGAAGACGAAGAACACCATGAGCGGCACCGAGTTTGCGCGCGCCAAGGAGAGCGCTGCCGACATCATGAGGCAGAAGCAGGCCGCATGTAAGTCTTTCCCGCCTCTTCCATCGCCTGCCCCTTTTTTTCTGTTGGGCAGAGTCTTGGGGGTCTCTGCGACGACGGTGAACATTCAATTGTGTGACCGGGGCCGAATACATTGAACAGACGATATGCTGACCATGTCATCACAGCTGAGGCCAAGAAGGCGGCTGCTGCTGCCGGGGGCGGCGGGAAGAAGTAAATCTTAGCAGAGGAAAACGGCAGTTTTTTTTTATCGCCCGGCTCCTCTCGCCATATCCTTCTCTTCAACCTGACGCATTTGTCTTCCTGGGCCGGCTCATCAAACATGCAAAGCTCATCTATCGCCTCAACCTGCCCGAAAAAGGCATGTGAGATGAGTCAGCTTCATGTCTTGACGATCGTTCGGGAAGACGGGTATCGACCTTATCGTCAGGGTTCACCCAAGAGATGTGCTATTGTGAGAGAGAAAAGGGGAGAAGGAACAGGCTGCTGAACCACACAAATACACACTCACACTAACAATCATCAACTACGACTTGCAAACGGAATTCATGGGCGTCTTTACAGGGGCGGTGGCGACGGAGGTGCATTCGGCGTGCTTTAGGCGGATATTCACACACACACACAAACTACATTAAACACACAGTACCTACCAAACTTCAAAACACGGGGGACTTGCCTGCTCTTTTGGCCTCTCTCTCTCTCCATCACCCAGTCTCCCGCTTGTGCGTCGTGTCCTTGACTTGAGAGGTGGCCCGTGTGCCAGGCAGGAAGGTGAGGTGAGAACAGTGGTGAGGAATCTCAGGTAAATACTTAGGCATCTCACGTCCCAGCCTCAGCAACAACGACCGGAATAAATGGCCGTGAATATCCCCAGTTCTGGTACAGCAGCTATACCAGCTGAAACACACAGAGATCATGCTTATCCGGCGCTGGAGACTTTGGGCTCGAATCCCTTTTTGAAGCCTTTTTTCCATTCCTTTTTGTAGCAGTTCTGAATCTAGCTACGTGCGCTCTGTCTGCAACCACGCCAAACCGGCGATACAGCTGTCAGATGTCAGTCGGCTGGTCAGCATCGCACGTTCAGATGTCAAACAACGAATTGAGACGATCAGGAATATTTCACCTGAAGCAAACACGGCCCCCCCAAACGGCACCGACATCCGCCCACAAAGTAAAGGTAGGTAGGTAGGTCATGCTCTTTGAATCATTTCGGCGTAGATAACCGGGAAACACGGCTCCTCCACTCTTTTTTCCTGTCTCGCGGTCCTCCGCGGACCCAGCCCGGGCCACACACATTGATGGCCGATCAAACCTCGCCAGTCGTTGCAGAACATCTCGGATCTTCTTCCTTCCATGACCCCTTCATCTCCAGTTGGCAGTGATCCTAGTTGATCATCGACTCGTGATCTGTCTTCAACGCTGGCTTGCACAACATCAGCGAGTGAGGAAAAAAGGACCCAATATTTTGAGCGTGATCATTCATCATCCATTTATTGATTCCTATTAAGTGGTTGCGAAAACAAGAAACGGTTTTCCATCCAGGAAATACGAACCAGTCATACTCTGTAATTATCCCCTAAACCCCTCCTGGCTTCCTTCCTTTGCCTTTCGTCCACCGTCCAGCCTTTTGGAGCTGAGCGGCGACCAAAGACGGGGCGGGCTTCCCCAAAAACAACAAAAGAGTTCAAATCCGCCTCGACGACCTTCCAGGCCAATCGAAGCTAGTGGACTATATCCTGCTCTTTTTTGTGCTTCCGTCTTCCACAACCAACAAAAGAGAAATCTACATGTGATGAGAAAAAAAAAAGAAAAAGAGAAAAAAAAAAAGGTCGTGAAGCCCCCTAATGTGTAACAACTCCGGATATGTGGTATCGTTCCCAGCGGAGTGGGTAATAAACCGGGTTAAATCTTTCCCGGATTTGGTATGAATATAATAGGACTACTAAGGAAGCGGGGGAGTGCACGACTAGGTGTCTATTCCTCCGTCTATCCTTTAAGCCTCCATCATGTTCATGGGGAGAGAGCCTGCCATGCCGCCGAAAGCACCAACGCCTTGTGCGGCCGCGGGGAAAGAGCCAGCTGAGCAGGTGACGGCGCAGACGCAAGCACCGGCGCCGTTGATCTGGCCAGTGCCGGGGGTAACGGCACCGCCGGCAGCAGGAGCGGCGGGAGCGGCAGGAGCAGCGGCAGGGGGCGCAGCGGCGGGCGCGGAGGCAGCGGGAGCAGAGGCAGCGGGAGCGGCAGCCGGGGGAGTGCCGCCAACGATGGCGCTGGGAGCTCCGTTGCCCTTCTGCTGGATAGCCATAGACTGGAACAGGGCCTGGGACTTCTCGGCGGTGGGGTTGATGGAGAAGGTCATGCCCTTGCCGCAGTGGTTGGCTTGAGCGCAGTAGAACCCTTTGAGACGTGTTAGTTGAGACGGAGGTAAGATGTGAGCAAATAGACTTACACAAGGGGTCAGACACCATGACTTGCATGGCAACCTGGGGAGGCGGGCTGACGGTGTTGTTGGGGTTGGCCATGAAGCCAGAGTTCATACCGCCGGCGAGGGGATCGCAAGGCTTCGCGAAGGAGGACTGCGTAGCGGTGTGGTTCTGGCTCATGAAAGTGAAGACAACCATGTCACCAACGGCAGCCTTGATCTGATCGGGAACGAAGACGAGACCAGCGGCACCACCGACCATAACCTATAACCAGAGTCAACGACGTGTATCTCACGAGATTCGACTTTGCAAACTTACGTTGTGAGTCTGGGCAGCAGCAGGAGGCTGAGGAGGAGTGGCGGGAGGAGCAGCCGCGGGGGGCGCGGCGGCGGGGGGAGCAGCAGCGCCGCCGGCGGGAGGGTTGATGTTGATCGTAGGCGCGCCAGCACCGGGGTTCGCCCAGATGATGATAACTTCGGTGACCTGGCTGTTGGAAACTCCGAATCCTGTCATGCCAGCGGGAAGAGCCTTGGCGATTTCTGCGGAGGAAGCAGACTTCTTGTGACCATCGCGACGAACGGGGTAGGTGTTGCGAGCGGATCGGGCGGAGGCCAGCGCGGCGGCGGAGAGAGCTAGTACGGCGGAGAACTTCATCTTGACGGTTGGATGGTGTTGTCGTCGATTAGGGAGACCTTTCTTATTGTTGTTGAACAAGACACGACCCTTGTTCCTTCTCTTTTCTTTTTTTAATTTCTCTTCTCGGAAGATTTGTTGGTATTGCGAGACTGCTGGAGCCCGTCGAGTTATAAAGGAGGAATAAAAGGGTTTAGTTAATGCTGGATGGCGAGGGCCTGCTCGTGACGAAGGAGATTGAACACGGAACCGGAAGAGAACGAAAGCTCAAAAAAGAATGTGTGAAGACACTCGGCGGATGAAGAAGAGATGGGGAGGAAGAAACAGAAACCTCTTAGACGACGAGGATCGGGGGAAGTGGGAGAGCTTAAATCGAGGCGAGTCGTCGTGGGCTCTGCGGCATGGATGGGCGCGAGCCATGTCGCATTATCCGTTCGTTATCCCATGTCTCTCTCTCGCTCTCTCTCGTTTAGTGGCCCCAGTGTGCTAGGTCATCCACAGGACATGGGACAGCCCCTTCCCGGCCCCAACATCGACCTCGACGAAACAGGACGAGAAAATCTTCCGCCAGCCCGTCCTGGAGTCATTGGGGCAGGCTTGCCTTGGAGCGCTAGGCCAAGCGCAAGCCAAGCAAGGCGCCCGGGGGTCCTTACTCTGGGCTCAGGGGGGGGAGGGGGAAGGTCACAGAGGAGGAGGGGATGGCAACGATGATGGAGAAGGTACCCATTAAGGTCGGCGAGCCAGGATCAAACGGCGTGGTAGTGAGGGCGTCGAGGGGCGGTTCGTTCCTCGGGGATGCAGCGTCCGATTAAGCACACGAAGCACAGGCCCACAGCGGCATTGCCATCCCAAGCTTGGTGCAAATAAAGAAGAAAAGCCAAGACGAGATGGGTGGGGTTTGGGTGGTAGCAGAGGGGGTGTTGGTAGGGGTAAAGGGTTGGGAGGAACCAGGGGGTGGGAACGGATGGATGACGGATGGAAGCAGAGACTTCTCACGACGAGGAGGGACGATGATGCTGCCAGCGGGCCAATGGACCAATAGACGCCTGTTTCTGATGTAAGTGACTGCATGTAGAGCAGTGTGAGGTAGGTGTGTGTGTGGCACGGGGAGGTGGGTGCTTCTGATGCAGTTGGTTCCAAGCCAGGGTGTCGCTGCATCGGCGATAGCTGGATAGAGAATTGACAGCATCAGCAGCAGGTACTGAGTAGACGAGCAGTTGAGGGTAAGGTAGGTACGGATAGTAACAGTGAGAGATGGAAAAGTCGGATGCACCACACAGGCTGCGGACTAGCGCGGTGAGGGAGGTGGAAGCTGTGACAGATTCGTCTCGAGTCGTGTTTTGGCATCTCGCTAAGGGGCCCCTGGCTGCCCTTCCCAAGACGGTAGTCGCTCGGACCCCAAGCGAGGTGCAACCCAATGGTTTTGCATGTCACGTTCGTCGTTACGCTGGGCTGGGCGGCCTCTTGTGTCTGTCTGTCTTGAGAACGGAAGCTTGTTGCATTGGGAGAGAGTTTGGATGGCTGTCAGTGTGACTGGTGTTCTGATGACATGTAGTCGATTTGATTGTTGTACATGTAGGTGTTGTTGGCCAAGCATCACTGAATCTGAGTATAGTATGCTAGTGCCAGCTGATCAGAGACAGAAAACCAACGATTTAGATTAATCGCCCAATGGACAGCCAGAACCGCGACGTTGGACCCTCCCCCGAGAGCCAAAATGCCCCGGGCAAGGCTTGTTGCCCTCTGTAAATTAACGCTCCCGCTGTCTCGGGGGGTGCTAAACCTTATTGCGGCCAATTAAGGTGGTTGGACCCCCTGAACTGGCATTTTAGCTGCCGGAGCCACGGGATGGCGTCCTCCCCCCACCCCCCCTTTGCGCCGTGTGGTTCCTGTTCCTGCAGGTACGAAGCCCTGCATCCAATCCAACCCAACTCTTTCTTCAACCTTACAACCTTAGACATCATTGAGGTGTCCCGTCTCCTGTTCTCTGGGAACCCGTCTCTTTTTAGGCTGCGATACGTATCCTTTTCTGTTGTACACCTATCCCACATAGTGAAAGGTTAGCGTACTACTTGCGGGGCCATCCATATAGCCAAGCCCCGCAAGAACCGCACTAACCTTTCACTCCGTGGGATAGGTGTATGTACACGTGCCCGCCTTTCAACAACCCCAACCCGCCAAGCGCATCCGTCCCCTTGAGTATCTATCTCCGTCCCCATCGTCCCTGCATCTGTGTACCTTACCTTACTGAGTCTGCATCACCCCTCCTCCCAGTCGTTCTCGGTTTTCGGCTTCTCTGAACCTCACAGAGTATGAGCGGTGTTCCCTTCGACTGCACCCTCTCTCCAGCCAATGCCTATTCGTACCTTAATCCGCATGAGTCGGCACGGCTTGCCAGGCGGAGCCGTGTCTGCGTTCGATGTACATGCTGGGCGTGCAGCCGCCTCAAACGGCCACTGAAGACTGTGAAACAAGCCCGCCTCCCATCTCACTGTCTCTGTCTCTCCCTATCCCCTTCTCTGCCACATTCTCTCTAGACTCTCGCCCGTTGGGGGTACAACCATTGCAGTGCTCCATCCGCTCCACGTCCTCTGACCGCGGGCGAGTCTTCCCGGCCCACAACACCAAGAAATACCCAAGACCTCGTGTGTGATGGAGAACAAAACGAGAAGAGACCGATCCAATCCAGTCCAGCCCAGCCGCCCCTCCGTCGTCATCCATACTCTTAGTAGAGTCCCTGCCCTGCCTGCTCAGTGCTCCTGTCCACTCAACTTTGCTCATCTACCCGCCCTTGTCAGCAGCCACACGCTGTAACCGCAAACCACCCCATCCCAACTCTGAGCAACTCTTATTAGCAGACTAATTCCAAAAAACCCATGGACCCTGCTCGTCCAGTCTCAACACCGACTTGGCTGCCCACTGCCACCATTAACGCCCTGCTGCTACCGTTTGCCCAACCAGAGACTGAACCAGGACCTGACACAAGGCCATCGGGCGCTAGACATCGGCTTATTTCTCTTCCAGCACTGCCATCGTCTTGTCATTCCTTGGTCGCGCGCCAGCGAGATAGCCTGTAATGCGACGTCCGCTTCAGCCTTCTCCCTCTCACCCGTTGCTGGCATCCTCCAGCAGCAGCACTCGGAGGTCTTCCTGTCATTAAACCTGATGTTGGTAGCGTTGTCGCATCTCGTCGCTCGGGGATCGACCGAAGGGAAACGGCACCGCGGCCCTCCTCCTGTCAAACCTCGATCCGCTGGATCCGAGCCCGCGCGTCGAACGACTCGACCACTGCACTGCATGCCATCCACGCGTAAAGTGATGAGTATCTCCGGACCGGAGGATCACCATGCTCGTTGTGCAGATTGACGGGTAGCCGGCCCAACAGACAGCCGCTGGGACGCATGGGTTGCCGAGCATGTCACCTACGTATGGCGCCGGGATGCGCAAACGGCTTGCAGGCCGCATGAAGCCTTTGCGCTCAAGAAAGTCACTGCAATCTGTTCTGATTTCCTCGGAAACATGTAGACCTCGCTAAACAGCCTGACGGGCCTTCAATCGCGAGCCCGAGGAGATCGGTGGACACTGCAACTCCACGTTCCTTTCCAAGTCCGGCTTGAGGCCCGGCTCCAATATTCCAATTACTACGGCAATGAACCAACCCATATGTCAACTAAGACCTCCCTATCGTTATTATCTCCCACGACACACGAGGCCATCTCGGCTACCTAGGTTGGCACTAGTAGTGTCATCTCTTCTATCCCGCTATCCCGCGCTGTTAAGGCTCCTTTCGGATCTTGCTCCGCCTTGACCCCCATGTGTCTTCCTACTTGGCTTGCAGAAGCGCGTAAATGGACACTTTGACGAAATGGGGACATGGGTCTTTTTTCCCCCTCCTGCTGCAGTGCGGAGAGGAGAAGATTGACCAAGCCTAGACCCGTCCACAGTGAAACAAAACGAACTCTTGGGCGAGAGGACACGAGCGCGCTAATTGCCAAATTTTGTCGCAGCAGCCACGAGGTTTGCATGGTTGCATTGGGGCTCTCGAAGGACCCGCCAGCTCAAGTTCGCCCGACCCCGACTTGGACAACCAAAAGAATTACTCCGTCCCAAGACCGAACATCTGGGCGCTGCGACTGCAGAAGAACGGATAAAATGGCGAATCAGAGCGCTGCTGACCGAAAAGCCTGCGCTCCTGTCGTTCGTGACACATGCCATGGCGAACCTCAGACAAGGAACGGTGTGGCGCCGTTGCATCATCGGATGATGGAACAGATCGTGTTACAGACTCGTCCTCCCGCACGTCGATCAGATAAACTCTCGCGTAGCCGCTTCTCAGGACGTTCGACCTCACCCCATTCCCCACACCACCCTGTCTTCCTTAACCCAGCTCAAAGGAGTCAACTCAGCCTCATTGTCGCGGCTCTTGTGTCTGCTGCTGTTGCTGCTGCTGGCCTTCGTAAAGGCCAGTGTAGTATCCGGCGTAGTACCAAGACATCAGTAGTCTCTTCAGTCCTTCGTCTTGCACTGCAGATCAAAACCACAAGGGCGTCCTGGTCAGTCACGGCTTCTTTCATCCTTTGGCAGAACGGGAGCGGCACTGGGCAGATTGCAGCCTCAACATTCCGAGTACGCAGGGCTTTCATTACACATACCTGAGCCAAGTAGACCTTGCGGGCCCATTGTCGCAGGACTTGGGACGCTGCCGCTGCTGCCCGAGATAGGCTTTGCGATGGGCGCGCCAACTTTGGACTGAACCTGGAGCGGGCAAGGAATGCGTTAGCGGAAGCGAACAAGATGCAGGACAGATGGATGCCAAGCTTTTCTGATCTGCCTGGATTTCCTCTGGGGTGAATGGGTTGTTTTACATCCGTGCTGCCGCCCGCCCCTTTCGTTTCGTGGGCTACCTCTCTGTCGTCCACGATCTCAGCCTGATCGACCGCTTTCGTTTCTGAGTCGCCGGTCTTATGGGTCCTAGGAGATCATGGAATGTCAGAAATCTTCTTGGTATTTCATAAATATGGAGGAGAGTCTGGTCATACTGGGATTCGGAGGTCTCCTGAAGATCGACATCTTCGAGTCTGCCTCCCTTCGCGTGGATGCTGTGATACTTCTGCCCAGACGATCAGCCGCTGACACTCGTGGGGATGTTCTCCTGGCTCAGACGGGGGGCTCTCACCTTGTACTCGTTCAGAGCCTCATTCCAAGAGTCTATGAGGGCAGAATCGTCCCAAATTTCAGCATGCGTCATATCCATGTCGTTGCTAGGCATCTTGGGAGCTGTGCAGGAGCTGTCTCAATGACGGAGAAGCACGTGTCTGGGAAAATTGGGGAAATGACGGCAGTGCAGGTCGAGCCTTTGGTCTGTTCTCGACTGTTCGAGTGCCAGAGGCAAGGGTCAAGGCCTGCCTGACGGTGTTGAGTAGATAGAGTGAGTTTGAGAGGTGAGTGTGTGTGTGTGGACCTAGCGGTTCCTGTCGAAGCCGTGCGATTGATGCAAGGAATGATGTTATTCCGGTTTCCTGGACAGGTTCCTCTTTGGTGCTGCAATTGCGCTCAATCGCTTTTGTTCGTCGACAAGTTGAGTCTAAAGGCGCGGACGTCACCTTCGTCTTCGTCTGCTGCTACGGAACTGGGGCTAAACAACGGAGATGCTAGGTGAGATCAGGTGTTTTACTTCTTGGGCGTTGTCAGCAACAGACCGTATACTGACGGGAGCACTTAGGCGAGCAGTCCGGGTAAAGCGAAGATTCACCTGAATTGAGATGTGTTGTTGAAGATGACGAAGTTGTTGCGGCTCAATGACAGGAACCGAAATGGTCTTTCGAACGACAACCCGCACAGCGATTGAGCGAGCTCCTTAAGAGTTGAGCTTAGCGCGTCGCGGTGCTGAGAGCTGTCGGATTCGTCGCTCCTTCAGCACCGATGCCCCGCTAAAAAGTCCCTGGCCAGAACAGCCCGGGGCACCGTGCCAGCGGGGTGCTAGCTTCACCGCCCCCGTATCTGCGTGGCAGAATCCAGGAAATTTTTATTTTTTCGTTCTTGCGATAGGTACTCGATCGCTGGTGCCACCGATTTGTCTACACTCAACAGCATCTCCAACCATTAACAAATATGGCCCCCGAGTTGAGGAAGAGAACCAGATGTAAGTTATAATCTCTCCGCGACCTCAAAGTTCAAACTCTTACATTAGTACAGCGGTCACCGCGGCCGAGAACGCGCCTGCGGCCAAGAAGGCCACCAAGGCCGAGAAGGTCGAGAAGACCGAACCTGCGCCCAAGAAGGCCAAGGCTGAGAAGGCCGAGAAGGCCGAGAAGGTCGAGAAGGTTGAGAAGAAGGCCACTCCCAAGCGTAAAGGTATAGAACATCGTCGGTATTCTTTCGCGCATTGGCTAACAACCATTTCTCCAGCCCCCGAGGAGGCCTCGCCCGTCGCCGCGAAGAAGCAGAAGCCCGCGAAGGCCACCCCCAAGACCACCCCGAAATCCAAGAAGGCTGCTGCCAAGCCCGAGCCCGCTGAAGAGCCAGAGCCTGAGCCCGAGACCACCGAGGTCGTCGAGGAGGAGGCCGAGACTTCTGTTATTCCTATCGAGGATGGCGGCGACTCTGACGAGGAGATCGATGCCGACATCCAGGCACTCGCGGCTGGGTTGGACCCGGAGGACGCGCCCGAGGCTGACGGAACCCTCTTCAAGGAAGGCCAGGACGTGGGAACGATCCCCAAGATCAGCAAGAAGCAGAAGAAGTCCATTGGAGGATCAAGCGAGGAGCCCGGCGTGGTTTTCATCTCGAGACTGCCCCATGGTTTCTACGAGCACGAGTTGAAGGGCTACTTCTCTCAGTTTGGCAAGATTAACAGGCTGAGACTCGCCCGCAACAAGAAGACGGGCGCAAGCAAGCACTGGGCTTTCATTGAGTTCGCCGAGGAGAGCACCGCCCAGATTGTCGCGAAGACCATGGACAGCTACCTGTTGTTCGGCCACATCCTCAAGGTCAAGACCGTCCCCAAGGAGTCGCTGCACGAGAACCTGTGGAAGGGTGCCAACAAGCGCTTCAAGAAGATCCCATGGAACAAGATGGCTGCCAACGAGGTCGCGAAGAAGAGGACGGAGTCGACTTGGGCCCAGAAAGTCTCTAGGGAGGAGAAGAAGCGCGAGGAGCGTGCTAAGAAGCTCAAGGCGATCGGATACGAATTCGACACCCCCGACCTGAAGAAGGCCGTCGCGCCGCCGCCTGAGCCTATGGCTATCGACGCTCCCGAGGAGCCCAAGGCCATTGAGGCAGCACCGGCTGAGGAGAAGCCTGCTGAGGAGGCTGCCCCTGCGGCGGAGGAAGAGGCAGCGGAGACGCCCAAGACCAAGGCAAAGGCGAAGAAGGGCGGCAGGAGAAAGTCCAAGAACTAAACTCCTTCATCATGTCCCGCGTCACGAGTGTTTGAAAAGTTGTTCTGCATATTTCTGCTGCATTTAATGCTTGGGGAGTCCATCAAAAAAGGGTAATCACTGGGATGTGTACGCGCATAGCGAACCCGTCGCACCCATTCAAATTGGGGCAAGCGCCGGGATTATAAAAGGCGAATCTACTCTGCTTCAGCGTCAAAAAAGACCAAGTCATTGATTAAATGGGCTCGATCAAAAATTATGTCAGCGAAGGGTAAAATATGTGAAGAAGAGAAGAAGAAGAGGAAAATTTCGTCACGAAGCAGAGCCTCTTGAAGGTCTTGCAGCTGATAAGATAACGCTGAGTCAGCAACCGCAATGGGTCCATCGACGCAGCTGTCGGCGCGCCGACCTGTTTGTGGTCGCCAGTCACCGATGCACCTCGTAAAGCAGGGTCGTATCTCTCAGTCATCTGCGCCATGCATTTCGTAATTGCTTGTATTATCTCATGTGACCAAGTACGGGAATTTAACTGAAGAATGAAATTGGTTACCTCATTTGCAGAAAGCCATTTAATTTAAAGTCAATGTCAGACTGCGAGACCAAGGTGTGATTCGTGTTGGTCGGTTGACCAATTGTCGAGGCCGTCGTTTCATCTATCGATCCTGTGCTGATACATGCCAGGACACTGTATAAGTTACAAGTCAACTTAGATTACTTGAAGGGAAAAGCAATCAAACCTGCTGATTCACAAAGAAATAACTCAAAGACCCCATCGAGCGAAGCACGTTTCAATTGAGACTTGAGAGAAAGACCGTTAGTTCTCAGCAAACGGTTGGCGCTAGACGCGCTGTCCTTAGCTAATACTTATCGTTATCGGTGCTTTTAGTGGAGCTTTCCGACCAGTGTGGGGGGCAGTACCTTCCGCGTGTGAAGTGAACACGCTCGCTAATTTGCGAACCTAGCTTACGTTGTGTAAGTACATACCAACCCGCCCGATGCCAAACTAGACATCTTGCAACCTCCCGACGAACCTCGAAAAAATAGCCCGTTCCACCCAGCGTATACCAGCTCAAAGGGCTCTGCACACCTTCCGATGCATTTGAGAAGCCAACATGTCGGCCGCCGCTCCCTCTAGTGACCCGGTCCAAAACGCATCTTCAGGTTCGCCGATTGAATCCACCCCTCGGAGGCAAATGATGCGATCGCAGCGCTAACCTGTCTGGCCACGCTTCTAGGGAAAAAGAAGAATAACAAGAAGAAGAAGAATGCAAACAAGCCCAAGGAACCGATAGAAACCGACAGCACTACCCCGCAACGCGACGCTGCCGAGGATGGCGATGATGAGCCGGAGACCCCGGTGCAGGTGATACTCCCTTGTGTCGTTGCCTTTCTAGCCTGATTGATCTGACTGCTGTCGCAGGACGCCGCACCCACGGAAGAGTCCAGCCCCGACCAGACCGCAGACAAGGACACAACGGTCAATGGCCATACCGAGAGGCCGACGAGTAATGGACATGCGAACCCGCCGATAGAGAAGCCGACAGACGACCTGGGAGCTGGGGGAGATGCCACCGCGAAACTAGACGCCCTCACAAAGGAAAGAGAGGCACTACGAACAGAGGTCGAGACACTGAGGAAGCAGCTGGAGACAATTCAAGGAACACACGATGAAACCATCTCAAATCTCAAGACTGAGCTGGAGGAGACGTCATCGGCCAAGGAGCAGGCGGAGGAGCAGTACCAAAGCCTATTGGAACGTGTCAATCACCTCAAGTCGACACTCGGCGAACGTCTGAAGCGCGATCGAGCCGAACTCGAAGAGGCCAAGGAGCGAATCGAAGAGCTCGAGGCGCAGAACGAAGAGCTGCAGAATGGCTCGAGAGCATCTGAAGATGAGCTTGCTAAGCTCAAGGAGGAGCTGCAGGATACCTCGCGCGAGGCGAACAGCCTGCGCAGCCGCAGCAACTTGTCTCAGCAAAACTGGGTGAAGGAGCGAGAAGAGCTGACACGAGTGGTGGCTAGCCTGAAGGAGGAGGTGGAAACAACGACAAATGCAATGGGCGAATGGGAAGTCATCGCCATGGAGGAACGATCCGTCAAGGAGAGCCTAGTAGAGAAGGTATCGGAACTGGAGGAGCAGATTCACAGCCTTAGAGAGGGCTACGAGAGCGCCGCATCCGAGCGAGATCACCAGTCGCAGGTTATCGACAACTTGCAGAAGGCGTTGCGCGAGATCCAAGAAGCGCGGAAGAAGGAGCTGCGCGAGATGGTCGAGACGTCAGAGGAGCAGCTCCAGGCTCTGAAGAAGCTGGTCCAAGATGCGGACGCCAGAGCCACGGAGGCCGAGACCGCCAAGGATAACCTCACCAAGGAGCTTGAGCGGACAGCGCCGTTCGAAAAGGAGGTCAAGGAGAAGAACCTTCTCATCGGCAAGCTGCGACACGAGGCCATTGTACTCAATGACCATCTCACGAAGGCCCTCCGCTACCTGAAGAAGACGAAACCTGAAGATAATGTTGATAGGTATGCTGCTTTCACCAGCCTCCGCCATTACAGCCTACTAATCCTGCCTTAGACAAGTCGTCACGAATCACATGCTCCACTTCCTCACTTTGGACCGCGGAGACCCCAAGCGCTTCCAGATCCTGCAAGTCATGGCTGGCTACCTCAACTGGAACGACGAGCAGCGCGAGCAAGCCGGGCTCGCTCGGCCCGGCACCTCGACAAATAGCCTGCGCTTGCCAGCTTCGCCCTTCCACCGCACGCCGAGCACGCCATCCCTCAGCGCAGAGTTCTTCTCGGATACGCCCACGTCAGCCAACAAGGAGTCGCTCGCCGACCTGTGGGCTGGCTTCCTGGAGCGCAGCGCAGAAGAGGGCCTAGACCAGGC